ATTTTTTGGTCCTAAAAAAACTTCTATAGTCAAACAAGGTGAAAGATCTAAAGAAAAAATAATACCTTTACTAGATGTTCTTGTCACGGACATACAACTAAAGAAGATTTGAGAAGGTTCTAGGAGGTTTTTAAAGGTTCTTATAGATCCTAAAAGATTCTAAAAGATTCTAATAGATTCTAAGAAAGTTTTAGAAGGTCATAAGAAATCCTAGAAGGTTCTAATAGGCTATAGAAAATCAAAGAAATATACACATTCAAAAGAAAAGAAAAGAAAAGAAAAGAAAAAAGAAAGAAAGAAAAAATATTTTAATTTAATTCTAAATAAATCCTAATTAAATCTTCATAAAATCATAAATAAATCATAATTAAAATTTTATAGTAATTTTTAAATTTTAATAATAATTAATTAAATTCTTGATCTTAACTTAAAAAATTACGCATTTCAATCTTTAAGCAAATAGAAAATACAAAAAAATTGAAAAGAATTGAATTTATCAATTAGAAAAGAAAAAAAAAAAAAAAAAAAAACTCTAATTATTTGAAGTTTTGGTTGCCTTTCTTCTTCAACCTTAATGTCAATCTTTTAGTATCAATTATTCGTTATTGAATTATTCAATTTCTTTCTAAATTGATTTTTTTTTTTTAAATTCTTACATTCTAATAAAAGTTTATTTGAATCAAATCTGCAAGATCACAAAAACTATCATTGATCATAAAATTAAATATTCAAAACATTGATCCAATCAAATTTGAATATCTTTTAATCTAATTTTTTGATTGATCTTACATTTTCTATTATATTTTTTTAATTAGGCCTTTTAAAAATAATACTTTTTATTTTTATCTTTTATTATATAGTTTTTTTACAATACAAAAATATAATTTTTAATTAAATAGTATATATATAGATAAGAAAGAATCCTTCTCTTTTTTTCTTATTCTTATTCTTGTTTCAAAAGTCTTTAGACTTCTTGTCTTTGGCAATAGTCATTTTAATTTCAATATTATACTATCTTTGAGTGATTATCTATTCTTTTCTTGTAATATAAGAATGTATTTATTCTTTGATTCTTTGTGATTCATATCTTTGATAATTTATCAAGAATAATAATTTATTAATTTATTTAATTTTAGAAATAATTATATTATCCCATTTTTTTTCTTTTATGGATTGCACACTATTTATTTGGTAACTAATATTTTTTTTGTTTTAACATTGATTTTTTCTATAAAGAGAATAAGCTATTTTTTTATAGAAATTTTTATGTGATATTAAATATTATAGATTACCTTACTTTAACTTGACTTATATAATTGTTTAAATTTTTTGTTATAAAAATATAAAAAAAATTATAGATACTACATTTGACAGAAGTGATAATATGTATGCAACTATTATAAATCTAGTTAAGCTTATCTATATTCATAGAGTAGAAATTTCACGTATTTCTAATGTCAACTATGGATGTACTATTCATACACATGTCAAAGAAGTCAATAAATAAATTTAATGTCTATGCTAAGAAATTGTAGAGTGCAAAGAAGAAAGTAGATCAACCTCACAATTAAATCTAATAGAGCCTCATTACTATAAATATTAGAGATATAAAAATTGGTATGCTAGAGAAGTTTCATGGAAATAAGATTAAATTTTGAAGATTTCTACAATAATTTAAGCTATATTGAAGGTTGTAACTTTTATAATATTTTAATGGATTTATTCAAGTTGGATTTATAAAAGCAATTCTATCATAAAGTGTTATTGTTTGGTTTATACTTTTGATGGAAAAATATTCACAATTCTTTTATAATCTTAATTTATTTATAAAAAACTATTTACAGTCATATTTTTTAAAAAATAATTAAAAAACTATAGAAAAGTCTAAACATTGTCTTTACAATAATAATCACAATCAACTACCATATATGCTTCCAAATTCCAAACCCTTGCTTATAATGTATATTACAATGATAAAGTCTTTATCAATAAATTTCAATATGGATTAAAAAACAATGTCAAAGATTTATAGTTGATAATATCCAAAGAAAATTAATTCAAACAATTTATTGCTCAAGTAATTTCATATAATAATCAATTTTTTGAAAGATGCCAATAACAAATATTTGGATGGAAAAAAAGTTAAGTTATGACAATAATTCTTTAGTTTTTTAAAATATATTCAACAAGGCCAAAACTTATGCAAATTGATATTTTATATTTAGAAATAGATAATAACCAAGAGTTTTAAGTCAAAGAAGTTTTAGACTCATGAAAATACTAAAATAAGTTGAAATATTTTATATATCAGTGGAGATATTATATTAATAAATACACATAAAAGCCAACTAAGAATCTTACAAATGCAGCAAAAAAGATTGATGCTTTTTTTTCACAACATCTATTAAAATGAAAATAAAGAGTTAAGCAATTCTTTGCTATAAAGAAACAAGATTTGATAAATATTACATTCTATTTCTTATTCTTATTTGTGATTTTTGTATATTTGTGGCACTAAAGAGATCAAAAATTTAAAAAACTAATAGATTCAAGTCAAGAGCTATTATTTACTAAATTATCAAACAAATCATTGAGATTGTTATAGCTTTCAAGTCAACATAATAGCAATGAAGACTTTTAAGAATGATATGTTAATTTTTAAATGGATGGTAAGATACAATATGTTTGATATTACGACCTTGGAAGAAACTTTTGATATTTAATGATTTTATTAGAAGTAGAAATCATCTCCAATAATATATCAAATATTTTATTTGAAAAAAGTTATAAAAACCTCAAGAATGATTAAATAATAGGGTGATCTTTCTACCCTAATAAGATACAATATTGATGGCTAGGATGACCTATGAATTACCTTTGGAAGAAATAAAGATTAAATCATGTGGCAAATATAATTTATCACATCTTAAACTTCTTCAAGATGTGATCATTGATCCTTCTAAAACTTATGCCTAAAAGAGAGGATAATATCAAAAACTTACATATTTTCTTAGATTAGAATAAATAGATAGAAGTAAATAGGAATAAATAAATTTGATAATATCTTATTTAAAAAATTAGAAGCTTTATAAACATGAATTTTATTTTTATATATTTATTAGTAATTAATAGGTTGAAAACATGGCCAATAAATTGGCCATATGTCATATATGTTGGTGACTTATGATATAAGTTGGCCATGTGGCACACATATAAGAAATTTGTATTGCAAGTTAGATATTTGTTTCTTAAATTGGACATGTATTTGAAGTCCTATAAAACATCACTACATAGTTTTTAGTTAGGTAGTATATTTGGAGAAAAAAGTGAAGCCTTTTTTATTCTTATCAATACCTTTCTTATTATTATTCTTACTTTAAGAGTCTCTAATCTTTTTATCTTTGGTAATAGCTATTTTAATCTTAATATTGTATCTTTTTTGAGTAATTATCTATTCTTTTCTTATGACACATGAGTGTATTGATTCTTTAAAAACTTTTAGATAATTTTTTATATTTTAGTCTTAATATAAGATTTTATGGTCTTTTATACTTAAAATTATTTATTTTAATACATGCTTATTATGTAGATATATTCTTTTTTGGTCTTCTTTATTTCTTCTTCATTAGATTTGAATTTCTTTTTTTCTTATAAGTTTGTTTAAATTCATATTCTTCATACACTTCCAAATTAATTGTTTTTTTATTTTTTAAAATTTTTTATCTTTACATATATATATATATATATATTATTTAATATATTATTTAATCTTCAAATTTAAAAAAAAAATTAAAAATAATATCATTTTTAGTTATATAATTAAATTTTTATTAAATATTTAATGCAAATTATCACAAAATGAAGAAATTTGAAATAAATGTTATTCTTCTTAGTAAAGAAACCTTATAGACTTTCAATAAGATTGTTGTGAAAATGTCACAATTTTTTAGAATTTTTATGTTTTTTTCTAAAAATTATGAATAAGTAAATTTAATCAAATTAATACATTTATTTGTAAAAAAAAATTATTTTATTTTTATCTTTGACTTACATTCGAAATATTCATAAAAAATAGTTACTTAAAATAATCATCCATCAAAATTTTTGAGAAGATCTACTCAATTGATGGTTCTCATTTATCTATTCTTTCTTATATTAAGGGGCACTTTATATCTAAGAGCCTGCTTTAAAAGGCCATAAATTCATAGCTTTGCAAAGGTTCCTTATATATAGAGAATAAAAGTCTTTATTTGGAAGCCTTAGCCTTGGCTATTGTATATAAAGTGATAAGATGCCATGAAATAAATAAAATCATTCTTTTTATTAAAAGTTAAAATATGTCAATTCATATATTGATTCAAAAAATTACAAGTATAAAGACTCTATTTTATTTTATTTTATTTTTATATTGGTTATTTTAAGCATTTGTTGTCACTACTTCTAAAAAAAAATTAAATTCACCTGACAAAAATTCCAAAGAACAATACCATTTATGCTATGTAGGAAAAAAACGCATTCTACCTCATTTTTTTTTTCTCTTAAGACTTTTGAACTTATTTTCCTTAGTATAAAGCCAACTTAAGGAGACTTATTGATTTAAACCAATCAAAACTTTTGAAAGTTAGAACCTTTCACCTTATCCCCTAAGTAAAAAATGCTCCTAAGCACCAATGTCAGAAACATATCCTTTATCTTCTAATCTACTACAAATCATTATATAAGCTTTTTCTTGTGTGTACTGCAAAGATGCCAACCCTCTTTGACATATTCACCAACCATGCATTCATAGCTCTACGCATTACCACAGTTTTCACCACTCAATTCTCTGCATACAGATGGTGAATACATTGCAACAGTTCACACGTTTTTCTGGGCACAAAAGACCTTTTTCAGGATTGCGTCACCGCTTGCGGCAGCGTTAGCGGCGAGACTGGCCCAGTCTCGACCAGCGGCAAGGCGGATGACGCTGCGGCGGTGAAAGGAGGGAGGGAGGGAGGGAGGGGGCTCGTGGATCTGTGCTGTGCTGCATGGATCCATCCTCCAGCTGCTGCGTGATCGATTCTCATCGCCACACTACTCCCTAATCTCCGTAATGTTCATCGCTTGAGCTGTAATTCCATCACGCATGCACTGGTGGTGGGGTTTCAATCGCTGCGTCACTGGGAATCATGACGAGAACCGGCGTCTATGTCGATGATTACCTTGAATGTGAGCAATTTCTTCTCGCGGTGTCGAAATTCCGTGTGCAACAGTTGTTGTAGATGGCTATGCCGTTCATTGAAGTGGTTATATGAGTGTGGAGACTGATTTAGACTACGTATGAGAGGGAACGTTGTTTTGTTGGGTTGTTAGGATTCTTAGGGTTAATGGAATTGCGAAGCGAATTGATCACGTTGGTTTGCTTTTGGGGTGGAGGTAGTTTGCAGTTCACTTCCTGCGGAATTGCAGAGGCTCCTATCCACGATGCGGGAGCTGGATGATCGGTCTCAGAGTGCGTTTTCTGTTTCTCTCCTCTCTCCTGCGAGTTCATGGATTTGTGTTGGGAATGTTGCTATTTACATATTCCGAATTGATCATGGGACTGTTAAGTATTTCACTTGTAGTGCATTGCAACAATTTTGTACTCATCATATAATTCAGTCTATTATGTGAAATTTTCGATTGAGCGTGTGTGGAGTTTTATGAAGATACTGCTGGTCTTCGAATGGTTCATTTGTTAGGGTTTTGCTGAAAAAAATTCTTATTCAAATCTGCTCTAATTCTTTAACGGATTTCCACCACCCCATTTGCTCGACTTTGGTATCTCGCATGCATATCAGGGTGATCCGTGTTGTCCAATTGTACAGAGTTGGGAATCGTGACATCTAATTTGCTCGGAGATGAGACTGAAAACACATGTCTTTTCTTTTCTTTAAAACATTTTGTTTTTGGACCGTCAAGTTCTAGACTTTTGAATTTACAATATTGGACTTGTGCAGATATGATCATGCAAACACGGGAGCAAGTCAGAGCATGTTTAGCAAAGAAGAGAGATGGCCTTGATGCAGATTCCTCATTGGACATACAAAGGCAGCAGATTGAATCTAACCAAACAAATACTCTGAAGCTTTGCACCGAAAAAGTGCTGCTTGCACAGCAAGCCTATGATCTGGTAATTGCAACATCTTCTATGGAAGTTGTATGTATTAGCTACAGCCAGCAGGTTTCTGAGTACTGCTGCCTTGGTTCTACATTGGTCTGTTGCTTGTATAAACTGCTTGCTTTCAATCGAAGTATTCTCTTGATTGGTAATTCGTTCAGAGCCTTAATGTTTCTTTCCATTTCAATCTCCCAATGTTCGTAACATATTTCCTGCTATTTCGTTTAGTGAGTACACTAATCACGTTATTGATTCCAAACATGAATGGTAAGAAACAGATTGTACAGATTGGTAGCTTAGTTGTTGAGCTCAATGTGCACGAGGGTAATGGCTGCCAAGGTTGTTATCCAGTGAAAAAACGGAGATTCAAAATTTGTATTCGTAATGAGTTTATCCTTTGCGATAGTCGGAGTGCCAGGTTTGCCTTCATGTTCCTTCAAAATAAATAAATACATCAATAAGTAACAATATAAAATTAATGTGAGGTAATTTGTGGCAATGCTCTATGACTAGTGAAGCTTCTAAGGAAAGATCTGACGTGTTTACTCCGGTGGTGTATGTTTGCTGTCGCACTTGTGGTCTGTCCATCGTCTTACTGGCATGCTCTTTGACACGGTAGATTGAAACTCACATGAAGCGTCTTGATGAGGACCTTAGCAGCTTTGCAGAAGACTTGAAGCAAGGTAGTGATAGTTTTTCCTTTTTTAGTATATACTTGCATCTTGCATACGATGAGCCATCGGATATTCTTTCCTGGTTGGCATGTGCCTTGTTCCTCCATCTCTTCATCATTTCAGACATGAATTTGTAATGGCACTTTTGAAAACTGACTTTATGTTCGAAATGGAGGTAGTGTTGCTCTACGAGCTATGATCTGTTTCTGGACATCATTCGCTAAATGTTTTCACCGTCATTGAATACAGAAGGAAAAGTTTTGAATGATGAGACCTATATTTCACCTTTGACGTTCAAGGATGAGAAAAGAAAGGTGCAGTTTCTCACGCCCATTGGTAAGCGCCTGGATTCACGACTGGATAGGGACAGAGGACTTGAAAGTGCTCGGGAAAGAGAGAGAGATCGCGATAGGGATAGTGAGTTGATGCCACCGCCTGGTAGTCACAAGAAGAGCCTTCCTGCTCCAACGGATGTGGATCAGCCCATTGATCCCAACGAACCCACCTACTGCATTTGTCATCAGGTCTGTACCATAGGGATTACTGCCTACAATGATTATTTTTTGTGGAGACTTCTTTCGAGTGCTCGCCTCGGTTTGTTTAGTGGAGTTATATGTGTCTGTTTGACATTCTTCAAGCTTCAGTACATGGTCATCCATGGTTTAGACTGAATTGTATTTGAATGATAAGCTGAGGTTTACATTTGTCCAGCTCGTTCCATGACATCCTTGTAAGCTAGAGCTGAAATAGCAGAGGTGTAAATACTTGGCACTTCTGCATGCTGAGGACTACATCGTTGAGTAATTTCCAAAGGTGCACTAATGAGCTATCATGTCTTACAGGTGTCATTTGGAGATATGATTGCGTGTGACAATGAGAAGGTAAGTGTATGTTAATCCTGATTGATTGTCGAAAGTGCAGTACTTTTTCTTACTCAATCTGCCGTTTGAGTTTCTCCTTGTTTCAATGGTATAACGTTGAACATTTCCTTCAGTATTTTCAGTTTAAGGATGATGATGATGATGACGATGAATTTTTTTAATACTGCAAGCAGTGCAATAGTAACTCGAGTTATTTGGAAATGTTGCAGTGTGAAGGTGGAGAATGGTTTCACTACCAATGCGTAGGATTGAGTTCAGAGACTCGGTTTAAGGGCAAGTGGTATTGTCCTACTTGCAGATCTCTGCAGAAAAGGGGTTTGTTAGATGCTCCCAGTTAGTGTTGGAAATAGTTTTGGAAAGCACTTTGTTTCAACTGTGTTTGGGACGGTACTGCATCCTTGTTTTAGGAGTAGATAATGTATCTGTCTCGAAATCCGCAGAGGGTTGTGGCCAAGTCTCCCGAGGCTTTGCTTGTGAATCTCTGTTCTAGAATATTTTTCGAACATGTGGCTCTCGTGCAAAACCCTCGGGGCTTAGCTTGGACGCTTGGAATCGGCCTCAAGTACCCTAGCCTTTGTGAATACTAGCCACTTCGAGCAGCTTCGTGCAGGACTTATCGATATGTCGCAGAACATGCAAGTTAAGTTGTAATTATAGTCCCGTAATCGAAACGAAAGCTGTGACTTCACGGAGTATTATGGCAGGCGTTCAGTAGGAACATTGAAGCATGTGGGTTTCTGGCTTTTTTTTTCTTTTCTTTTCTTTTCTTTTGTGGTGCCCGCCTGGTTTTCCAGCATTCAAACTGCTGCCAACTGCTTATTCAGAACTGCTGGAGACCTCTCCAATCGTTCAGACAGGCCCCCTTATTGAACCAATCGTGGTACTAAGTGGGTGGATTATTATCAGACCTTTTTTTAGGGTTAAGAAAATGACAGGATCGTGGCTTATGGTATATTGACGTGCTGCGTCTCTTTCTCTCTCAGCCCGTGAAACTGCTTGATTCTCTCTTAAGCTGCTGGAATAGGGTGTGCAATCACACATGGGTGAGACAAAACAAAAATTGTACTTGAAGAGGGAGAGGGGAATAATAAAGGGTAGGAATGACCAGCAAGAAGCGGCTATCTCCAAACACAGCTTGGGCACGCCTGTGGCACTTCCCCTCTTCCTCCTCTTTATTATGCTGACTCTGCAGGAGGAGTTAGTGAGTGAGTGACCCTTAGGTAGAATTTTCCACCAAAATCTTTGATGCACAGAATGTGACTAAGTGCATGAACTTGTGCTTTTGGTGAAGCCATAAGCCCTAAACCCCACAACAGTGGTTGACTATGAGGCTGAGAACTGTTCCCCAGCAGCAAGGGGTGTATCATTTGGCCCCTACCTGCATTGGCATATACATGTGATGTCTGCAAGGTACTGTCATTGAGTGGAGTGCTGCTGTTGACATGAACCCATTTGATGTGCTGTTGGATTGTGTTAAATGATGGGTTTGTGGGGGGAAGCATGGCTTTACACAGCAGGCTCAGCTCTGATTGCAGTATGAGTAAAATATAAAATCAAATCAAAAAACTGATAAATAAAAGGGGTTTTTGTTGTTGTTGTTGTTGTTGAAAAGGAAGGTGATGAACAACTGCTGACTGTGTGTGTGTGGAGTGAGTGAGTGAGTATACCCCACTGTCTGTCTGTATATGTCTAGGCAGAGAGAGTATCCATTGAATCCAAATGCAAGTGCAATGTAGGAAATGGAGCAAACAGTGGCATGGAACCACTTTTTCCTTTTTCCTTTTTTTGTTCCCTTTGTATGTATATATATATATATATATATATCTGTTATTTCTCTTCTCCTCATCTGTCACTTTACATGTTATATACATCAGACTGATGAAGCCTTAACCCCAATCCCTTTGATGATACTTGGTGCCCCATGTCAGTGACCATATCACAAATACTTATATATACTCTAATTCAACTTATTAATATTAAAAAAACCACAAGAACAGTGGTGGAAGTTTTTATATAGAATTATGTGTGTATTTATGTACATGCTCAATATCACTCTCTACTGGACATTCATGTATCAAACTGTCTACCCACCCACCCATGCACCTAACAGAAATTCAAATTCTCTCACATCCAAGCATCCCACTTGCTATGCCCCACAGAAAAAGATGGCAAGAAAAGGAGGGCTCAAGTGGCACCCCCACCACCCACACTTATATAAATAAATAAATAAATACTAGTATATAATGAGACAATTATAAATGAACAGAAAGGAGGAAAGAATGGCAGGAATGGGAAAGAAATGGAAAATCAGTAATGGGATGGATGGTACAACAAAATAGGGTTCTCTATCACACACCTCACATCTAGAGTTATGGAAGTCACATATTTAATAAGGCCCATTAAAGGCTAGCCCCCAAAGCGTTGGTCTTTTTCCTTGACCTGTGAGTAGAAAGAGACTTTGCAGTGCCAGTTGGTGAAGGTGAAAGGAGGGCATTACTACATACAATTTAAATAAATAAATAAATAAAGAAAGAAATCCCCCTAAGATGTTAAGAAAAAGAAGTAGCAAGCAGTATTAAAAGAAAAGAGAAGAGAGGAGATGACTCAAATAAGGAAGCCTTTCCTACACTCTTTCACATGCTTCTTTTTCCCTTCCCTTTGTAGGTCCAATGTGGGATAGCTAGCACTTCTTCCACTCACTAGTACATTGCCAATCATAGCCAGCAAAATGGAAAAGAAAAGAAGAAGAAAAAGAATAAATAAATAAATAACTAAATTAATTAATTAAATCAAACCAAACTGAATTTGAAATGCATTCTTGATTGAATGAACTGTCTCTTTGAGAGACAAAAATCTGAGGAAAACTGGATTCAGATATTAAAAGTAGTATATATCTACTTATATTCAAAAAAAAGAAAAAAAAGAAAAAAAGAAAAGTGTCTGTCCAGTGATTGGCTGAGGTATAAAATCAGCTAACCACTTTGTCCCCACAAAATTTACATTAAATTCTTTACATTTATATGTGTGAATCTGTGTAATATGAACACATCAACACTTCTATATAGGTGATTTCATTTGTGTAGAAAGATGTGAAATTTGCAACATGTTTCACAGTAGAATCTTTTATTTATTTTTTATCAAACAGTAGTTATAATGTTATTGAAATGTTATTATCATTACAATTGAGACATTATATTCACATGTTTTTGTAAAATTCCTCCATTAAATAGCCAATTTTTTCATAAGCTGATTATACAATTTTTCTATTTAAATGCATTAAAAATGTAAGAATACAGTATTAATTATATCTTGCAAAGTTTAATGTTTTTTTTATTTTAAACTCCCATTAATGATCAATATTTTTTTGTATCAATCATTTAGCTTGCAAAATGGGTTTCTTCTAGTTAATACACACACATACACACACACACACATATATATATATATATATATATACACACACACACACATGGAATTGTTAAATCAACCCACCTTTTTGCTAAATCAATCCATCATGTTATTAGTGTGATCTTTGTGCATGTTTAATTAATAAAAATGATTTTCTTTCAAGTCCCACCAAAGTGCTCATGTAGTATCCAATAATAGTTTTCAAAGGTTTACAACCAAAAAATATAATTTTGATGAAACCATTCATAACATGAAAAGTTGGATTTGTGCTTTGATACTATTCATTTCTTGGTTAAAGTGAAAGAAGTACAAATAAGATGATGGATGCTTGGGGGAATATCTTAACATAATCATGCAAAGAATCATGAAGCATGCAAAGGATGCATATAAAAGCCCAAAAATATGAATCACACTGAAAACAAATTGCTTTGCATAAAATTTCTATTCAAACCTAATTATTTTTTGTTCATTAGTTTACTCTATTATATCATGTCTTACTAGATTAGATTAGATTGTTGTTTAGGATGAGATGCTCCTAATGGAAGATACTTTAATACCATCATAGTCATTATCTTAGACTATCGCATCTAAGATTGTACACGCCTTATTTTTTTTGATTGATCCTAAGCTATGTTAAAACCTATTTGTTAATACCTTAGCACTGATAGAACAAGATGCTACTTTCCTTCCTCATTTGACATTGATTAAATTTGCTCCAAACAAGCATCCTCCTTGCATTGAGTTATAAGAATGTATGAATGTAAATCTAATGGAATTCAACATGACTATTTCTAAAATCCAAATACTTAAAAGAGGTTATTTTGTATTAACTTTCATCTAAGAAGAAGGAGCATAAGAGGCCCTACAACAGAGTCTATTCATTTTTGGCACATATTTAATATATATACATTCCTAAAAACTATAATTTATCTCTCACATGTCTCATGGAATTTCCATATCATTTTGGATATGATTTCCAAAGTTAAAATACTATTTTTATTTGGCTCTCTTTCAGATAGGAGTTGCTTTAAGAGAAGTGGTCTAAATTGGAAAAAAAGAAGACTACTTAAAAAAAAAACTTTTATATTGCGAGTATGCATGTTGATATAAAGAACATGAATTTCAAAGAAGCAAAAAGATAATACATTCTTATATCACTCAAAAAGACTAAACAATCACTCAAAGATAGTAATATATTGAACTAGAATGGCTATTGCCAAAGAAAAGTAGATTAGAAAGTCTTGAAATAAGACTAAAGACTAGAAAGATGTTGACAAGAGTGAAGAAGGCTTCACTCTTACTACTATATATACTATTTAATTAAGAGCTATATGGCAATGTTCTATAAGACCTCTAATATGTATTGACTTTACTAAACACATGTCTTAACTTACAAAGCAAGTTTTTTATATGTGTGCCACATAGTTAGCTTATTCCATAAGCTACTAATACGTATAACATGCGACTATCTTATTGATCAAGTTTTTAACTTGTGAATTAATTACAAATACATGTAAAATCAAAGTATACCTATGAAGCTTTTAGGAAGCTTTTTTAAAAGATATTATGAAATAAATCTACTTCTACCTAGTTCTACTTATTTATATAGGTAATTATTAGAATAAATATGTATGTTTATGATATTATCTCTCCTTCTAGAGATGAATTCTATGAAGAACGGTCATCATATATTAAAAAAAATCTAAGATGCGGCAAATTATGTTTGCTACATACTTTGATTTTTGTTCTCTTTGAAGATGATTCATAGGTCTTTTCAACCATTGATAGTATCTAATACTAGGACAAGAAGACCACTTTATTATTTGATCATTGCTGACACCTTAATAACTCCTTTCAAATAAAATATTTATAATACTATCAAGAATTGTTCATACTTTTAATAAAATCACCAAAAATTGAGAGTCTCTTCGAAAGTTGTGATACCAAATACATTATAACTTGCCATTTATTCAAGGAAGGACATGCTGATCTTGAGGATCTTCATCTCAATTACATTGTCTTAAAGGTTAAGAAAATCATAATATCTCATTTAATAAGTTAGCAAGCAATAGCTCTTGAATTAAATTTGTTGGTTATTGATTTTTTAGCTCTTTAGCATCACAAATATACAAAAGCTACAAATGAGAGTAGAAAGTAGAATGTTATCTTCCTTGGATCTTGTTTCTTTTATAGCAAAGATATGTTATTTTTTATCTTGATTTTGATAGATAATATTGATAAAAAGCCTCATATTTCTTTGCTATATTTGAAAGATTCTTTATTGGCTCCTATGTG